ATTATTTTTCTTGTACCCACTGAGAAATTCAGACCTTTCTCCCACATTGAACACTGTAACAGTTATCCTTGTTCAAGAGACTGTTTCCTTTGATTTGCTCCTTTCTGAATACAAATTGCATGGTTTAAAATTCCTTAAAAAACCCAAACAAGTTGCGTACAGTTGTCTAAAAAAAATAGGCACTGCCAAGTCTTTAATAGGAAGAAAGTTTTGTTTGCCCCTTTTTTTTTTTTTTTTTTGTGGGACTTCTGTTTTTCTCTTCTTGGTTTAGGGGATTTCAAATTATGTAAGATCTAAAAAAATAAAATGAAGAAGGGAATGTATTTGAAATTGTAGTTTAAATCTCTACCATCTTTGAGAGAGGTTGATGTGGACACTGGACTCTGGAATTATGGAGGAATGTGTTTGACACAATAAGAGGGAAAGGCATTTCCATAATTCCTGAGGCTTTTCATGAGAAGACAGAAAGGAAAGGGAAATGCTGATGAATGATATTTACATTGCTGCTTTAGTATTCCTGGCCCAGCAGTTTGTAGTGGAGCCCTCATTTTTTCCAGGGAGAAATCTGAGGTATCTGCATACACAAACAGTCAGTTCTCGTACTCTCCTGTGTTTCCTGTGGGTTGGATTCCCTCTGCTCTGCACAGCTGTGGCCTCTGATGATGGAGAAGAAATCTTAGCTGTTTTTCCTGAATGCTCTGCCTTACAGAGTGCTTTCTCCTAGAAACTCTGCTACTACTGTAACAATTAATTCTGTGGCACCTTCTACTTAAGCACGTCTAATAATTTTATCTGATTAGCACCCGGTGTAATGAAGAGTTGTTAGCCATCTGTAAATGGAGATAAGGCCTCCAGATTTGATTGACAGAGCATAAATAGGGAAGGGAGATGAGTGTTGGGATTACTACCTGTGCTTCCAGCCCTGGCATTGCTCTTCTCTACTGAATGTGCTTACTCACATGTAAAACCTCTGTGCAGCTAACCAGATACTTGGTACTCTGCTGTGGTTTCAAAAAAAGCATGATTTTAGGGTTTAGATGGAGGAAACTGTAGTGATAGGACAAGGAGTAATGGGGATAAGCTGAAAGAGGGGACATTTAGATGAGATACTAGGACATTTTCCCTGTGAGGGTGGTGAGACACTGGCACAGGTTGCTCAGGGAGGCTGTGGCTGCCCCAACCCTGGCAGTGTTCACAGCCAGGTTGGCTAAAGCCTTGAGCAACCTGCTGTGGTGGGAGGTGTCCCTGCCCAGGGCAGGGGGATGGGACTGGATGATCTCTAAGCTCCATTCCAACCCCTTAACATACTATCAAACTGCTAACTCTGTGGAGAGCAGTTTCCTTCCTGGCTGTATCAACAGAGTAATGAACGTTGAGTGCTAACTAAAGCGTGAAACACGTGGTATAGAGACATTTTCTATTGCAGTTGTTCTCTGGATGAGTTTCTTCCAGTCCAAAGGCTACCTGGCTTGGTAATAAAATAAAATAAAAAAAGAAAGTATTATGCAGTGTTTTCATAGCTGTTTCCTTTTGTGACCAAACAAAAATTAGGCCATGCTTCAAATGCTTCTTCAGACATTTATTTGTTATCATCTTGTTGTCTTCTTGTTTGCATGCGTGTGCTTAGATGTAGTATTTTTAACTTTCATATCAACTTGTTTTCAGTTCTACCAGGCCATTTCCTGATATCTTATTGACAACAGATTGAGAAAGTGCTGGAGCACAAGCCTGGCTCGCAGGAAAAAGCTGATTTTCATTTTGTCTGCTTCCCAGTGTTCCAGGGGACTATTCCATACCTCGTTTCTGCATTCACTTGCTGCTCTGTATATATAAACTTTACTAGATAATGATCTGCTGAAAGCGAAGGGAATGTTTTCAAAATTAGCTGTTGTGCAGCAGAGAGTGCGTGAGGGGAAGCGTTAAGTGTTCGGTTACAATGCATGTAAATCCTTTTACTGGTTGAACACAGGAGCTCATACCAATGAGTTCCTACTATTATCCACCATTCCTGGCCAGGGCTCTCGAGGCTGTTCCTGAATTGGCTCTTTAGGAAGCAGAATGAAAAATGGGCTGAAGAATAGCTTCAATATATGCTGCTCTGGAGGGTTAGTGCTAATGCCATGATAAGTGTTCCTTAAAACAGGTTTACAGCTGTTTCAAAGTCATCTTACTGTGTTCTCAGATCAGTGTTTGAGGGTGTAGATTCACTCTGAGTCGCTGTCTGGTTGATAGCAGACATGCTGAGATTATTAATTGAATAGTAATTATTCAAACTTCTTTGCGTGGTTGTCTAGTTGGTGTGATTTCATGCATTCAGACAAGGTTGGGATGTAAAGAACCTACAGAATATTTCAGGAAGAGCCAAGAGTGTGAACTGCTGATAAAGAGAAGGTATTTCCTGTAGATGAATTTTAGAAAGCAAATTTAGAGAATAATTTCATGACAACTGGGAAAGTCTTACAAAGGAAAAGAGCAGCATGACTGAATTGTTAAAGGAATGCGGAGTCTTGCCTGGATCTCTCTGATGCTTCACTCTGTGGATGTCTTATGTGTGTTCAGATCACTGTAATCACCCTGAGGGTCCTCAGCATCAGTTTGTCTGATCATGCTGCAGGTTCTGGGACTTGCAGATGAAATACTGAGGGTTTCGTGGTTCATCCTGTGTATCTTTTCTCCTCATACCTATTTTTACCATTGGGCTTTCAGTAGTTGACCAGACAGTGCCAAGCCCTAGTTTGGAACCATTTTGGTCCATGAAAGCCCTGCTTTGTTGGTTGGCCAGCAGAAAGGTGGGACACAGTGAAGAGGCAGGAGGAGTGTTGTGTTAGTGGAGATTGGCACTGCTCTTGGAGAAGTAGGTGGGGTGCATTTTGGCTAGTCCCTCTTTGGGAGGGCCACTTGCAGCCAATACCTCTGCGACGTGAGCCAGTGACTGGGCACCACAGAGGGCTCTGGAATTCTGTGTGAGTGCATGTGTGTGCATTGGAGGAGTAACATCAGCTGTGTCATGTTGCATTTCGTTGATGTGCCTTGAGCAGTTAAACCCAAAAGGCACAAGGGTGTGCACCCACAGAAACACTGCTGTGGGCAGCCAGAATGCCTTGTGCTTTTTGTAGTTCTTTGAGAGTGTATTTTTGACTTTCCTCTCGAGAGTGTGGCTTATTACACCTTGCTGCTCCAGGAAAGGTCAGGCAGGCAAGGATTTTTCTACTCTAGAAAATCTTTTGCCTAGCTGTCTGTATTCTGAGTTTTCTTCCCTCCTTTCTTTTTCAGTTCAGCATCTATCTGGAAAGTGGCCGTACAGATATTATCACTTTATCCAGCAGTATCCCATGTCAACATTGAACTAGCTTGCATTATTTTACCAAAATTTCTGGCAGGTAGCTAGAAATTTTGAGTAGCTGCTATGTAGGTGGGGTTAGCAGGTGATATATTAGTCTGTTAAAGCAGAGGTGTTAAGACTTGCTTCTCTGAGTCACATTACCAGGAATCTGAAGCCTGATGAGACATGTGGGATAAGGTCATTTGTCCTGGATTTCTTTGGTTTCCTTAAGCCATTTTATTGAGCAAATAATGAAGTGCCTGCTCTGCCCCCTTGTACCTGAGGAATTGAAGATTACCTGTTTTCCCCATTTATCAGGGCCTGGAACACATGAAGGAGCAGGTGGGAAATCCTTATCAGGAGGAGGTCAGGGCTTTCAAGTTAAGGATATGAGTTCTTATCTTCCCTGAGTTACTCAACTTTTTGAACTGTGTATCAAAGCTTCAAGAAATGGTTCTTTCTTCTGTAGTGTTTCTGTCTTTTTGTGTGCTCAAAATTGTAGGTGCCTGTAAGAACCGCACAAAGGCAGGGAAGGGATGATGAGTTTTACCAGGCTTTTCTAGGTAACTTTTAATCTGTGGATTTGATTTGCTTTGTCAAAGAGCTTGTTCAGTGTGGCACTTGCAGAGACATGTACAGATAGGAGGCAACACACCTGCTCCAGACTGGAGAGCAGAACTCGGGTGTCTGTTGAATAGATTCCAAGGTATACCCACATTTTTCACCCTGTTTCCTATGTGTGGAATGAGTAGAAAAAAGGGATTGCTTTGAAAAGCAAGGTAAGCTTAGTTCAGTCACATAGTAGTGTAGTGATGAAGTCAAGTTGAGCTAATGGGCTGCAGTCAGTCCCTTGATAAGAGAGTACTCTGAATCATCAGCTTTGCCCTTTCTGTGCTGTAGTTTGTCCTCCAGGGCCATCTTTTTTCACTTTTCATCTGTCTGAGAGTGACTGAGACTCTCTGTCCACAGCTGCCCAACTATGGTTGAGTTCACTGTCAAAAGCTGTTTGTTTTCTAGCTACAAGCAGTGAAATAGGTGTGTTGGAAAGATTTTGCCACAGCTTGCTGTGATTGAGGAAATGTTGGGTTGGGAGACCTTATAGGAACCTTTCTTTCCCTGCTCTTGAGCTTAAGCATGTTGACACAGTAAATTGCTGTAATTCAGGCTCACTGTAGCACACTGTCGTAGAGTTTAATAAAATAATGTCAAATGGAGTGTCTCCTTCCTTTGTAATGACATGCAAAATTGATGTATTAAATTTCTGCAGTGCACTGAAATGACACATTTTCCTTTCCTTCCATGAGTTGTTCTAGGCAGGATCCAGAAGTGCTGAGCTAGGGTTTCGCTCATTTTGGCAGATCCTGCTGTGGTGGGAGCTGGACAGACAGGAAATGCAGGCCTCTTAGCTGATTCACAGAACAAATTTGGCCTGTGATTCTTTGCTTAGTAGAGATGTCTTTCTGACTCGATATAATTGGTGTTGTGAGGAGGGAGGTACCCATGTCCTGAACGTGTGTGAAGCGGCATAGCCTCCCCGGGGAGTGGCCTGGCTGGTGTTCTGGTGGTGTTGCACCACTGTGGGAGCACCAAGCAAGGGAGCAGAGTATTTAAAGGCTACTTTGACTTTATCTTATCAGGTGTCCTGGACTGTTTTTTCCCTTTTTGTCTTCTAGATTTGGCAAAGCCTCCAGTAAATGAACCAAGGGAACCGGAACAGTTTCTAATGCAGACGCCCCAGGGAAATCCACTGCTGCTTTCCCACACCCTCCAAGAGCTATTGAGCAAGGATAGTGTGCAGGTGGAGCTTATTCCTGAGAAGAAGGGCCTTTTTCTGAAACATGTGGAATATGAGGTTTCCAGCAAGGTAACGTGAACAAACATTGGACTTGGTGAGAATGTATCCTCTTAGGAATGTCTGTGCAGTTGCTGTTTGCAGACGTTGACTGATTTGGTGGATGTGTTGGGTGATGCTGGTTTGACCAGCCTACTTGTGTGGGCTTACTTGGAATGCAGTAGCTCTGTGCCTTCTTGACCTGGGCTTCTGCAGCATGGAGCATCTTCTGACTGAGGTGTGATGGATGGTCTGTCAGTTCACTTGCTTGAAGCCTGGAGCTCTGTACAAAAGCAGGTGTGTAACATGGAAAACTGAATGTGTTTGTAATGGATTGGTGTAGGTGACTGGGCATGTCAACCTGTTCTGAGCTAGTGAAGAAATTGTATTGGCATCGCTAGACTGAAATCCTTTACAAACAGAAAAGGTGCTGTTAGTCCTTCTGCAGAGTCTGGGGTGCTCCCACTTGCCTCAGTCCTGACCTGTAGGTTCCTCTCTTGGTGTGAGAGAAGATTGATGTGCCTATTTATAGAGCAGCCAGTGACATAGCTCTCCAGTAGCTTCTGCGTGGCTTTCCGAGAAAGAAATGTACTTTTCCAAGTAGACCATGAGCAATTGATGTCTCCCAGGTCACCAAAACATCAGTTACTGAGAAGCACTCAAACTGTTCTAGTCATTGTTGTACAAATTCAGTGACACATTTGGGTCACTTGTCTGTAGTGACGTTTGGGGCTTTAGGTTTTGTAGATTGACATCCCTAAGTTTGTCAAAGGTTTGTGAGGGGAAAGGGCATATATGGTCAATGCTTCTGTGGCTTTCTAAGGCTAAATGTTTGTTTTGGCCTGTTATTTCAGGGCACAGGACTCAGTGACCCTGGTGGTCCTGATGGGTTTTGAGTTTAGGAACCCATGACCGATTCCTTTCAGTTGCTGTCGTGTCTTCTCTGGTCGTAGCTGTAGAATGATGCTGCCTCAAAAAGAAGCATAGCTTGGCCTTGAGCTTCACCTAAATGTGCAGCACAAATCAAGGTTAGATTTCAGAGCAGACTGAGGGAGGCCCTGGGGGCTGTGTCTGTTGGGCTCCAATTATGTGCTCATTGCTGTGTTTGTGAAAGTGCCACAGTATAAGTGGTGGGTGATGTGCAGTGCAAGTGTAGAGGATGAGTACAGTGTTGTGTAGTTTCTCCTATTAGCAGTTGAACCTGTAGCAATGCTGTGGGGAGTTTGTGGATTATTTATTGTTTTTACAGGATTTCTGCTTACTAAGTGTCTTGTTCTAGCTGCTACCTAACTCCTTTGGGAATGAGAAAGCAGTTTCTTTGGCCTTTGAAACATATTGTTCTAAGAAACGCAGCGTGAAGGCCTAAGGTTTTAAAGGAACTTTCAATCTTTGCTTATAGCCCTAACATCAGTGTGAGGTCTCTCCTTTTGGAGGTTCACTGAAAAAATTAGGCATTTGGATTAAGTAGTAACTTAATGTGATCCAAGACTGTTTTACTATCTCTGGATTTGAAACTGATTTAGAGAGAGTTCCCAAGAGCTGGAGCTCAGGGACTTACAGTACTTCAAGTAAAGAACTCTCTAGAGCATTTTAAAAATGATGATCTTTTCAAATTTTTTGTCTAATTTGGAAGACCTGAAAGTTTGAGGGAGTAATGGTATAGAACCACAGCAGGTTTGGGGATGTTTGTCATTTCTTGGGAAACCTCTTCCTCGCCATTTCGTAGTCTCTTCCATCTTGTGTGTGAATGAAATCTGACTTGGGTTTTTACTGAAAATGTTATTCTCAAAAGGACTGTATGTGGGGGGTTGACCTTGGCTGGACACCAGGTGCCCACCAAAGCTGCTCTGTCCCCTTCCCAGCTGGACAGGGGAGATAGAACATAACAAAAGGCCCATGAGTTGAGATGAGGACAGGGAGAGATCACTCACCAGTGACTGTCACGGCCAAAGCAGTGGACCTGCATGGGCTGCAGGGGCACAGCCTGTCCCACCATGGACTACGGGGGAATCTCTGCTCCTGTGCCTGGAGCACCTCCTGCTCCTCCTTCTGCACTGCCATGGAGTCTGCAAAGCTGTCGCTCTCACATGTTCTCACCCCTCTCCAGATGCAGTGTTCATGCACAGCTTTTTTTCCCATTCTTCTTAAATATGCTATCCTGGAGGTGCTGCCACTGTCACTGATGGGCTCAGCCTTGGGCAGCAGTGGGTCTGTCTTGGAGCTGGCTGGAATTGGATCTGTTGGACATGGAGGAAGCTTCTAGCAGCTTCTCATAGAAGCTATCCCTGTAGCTCCCCTGCTACCAGAATCTTGCTGTGCAGACCTAATCCACTGTAGTTAGAAGAATGCCATCTCTGATAATCAAGAGGTGGCTGCTGCCTCTCCCTCCTTCCCACCACAAGGTCTTTAAAGAGAAATGCATCATTTCTGCAGGCTCTGGTTATGATTTCTTTCTTTTCTTCCTTTTACGTTTAGTGCAGCTGATAGCAAAAATACATTATGGCAATGCTGCTGATTGTCCAGGCTGTGTATTGATTTGTTCTCCCCTTTCTTTAATTGCAGAGGTTCAAATGCTCAGTCTACAGGCGATACAATGACTTTGTGGTGTTCCATGAGATGCTGCTTCAGAAATTCCCCTATCGCATGGTGCCAGCTCTTCCACCAAAGAGGATGCTGGGAGGTAAGCCTGGGTCTTGCTTTCTGACTTGGAGGGGTTGCAGTGCAAGGTGATACTGGTAAAAATCAATGTTTAAAAGCTTCAAAGGCTTTGCTTCTGCTTGGCTCAGATAACAGCTTTGAGGTTTAATACACACTTCGGAGGTGTGACTGCCACCCTAGAAATAGCTACAGGTGAGGTATGAATGTAAGGTTTCAGTAGGGTTCCTTCTGGTGTATTTTCAGCATCTAATGATTTTCTTAGTAAGGTTTTAGGTGCAATTCTACATGGCAGAATTGCAGGTCTTGGTTTTTAGAAAAGCAGGTTATGATGATCATTATTTAGTGGTGGACTTGGTAGTGTTAGTTTTAACAGTTGGATTTCATGGGCTTAAAGTTCTTTTCCAACCTAAATGGTTTTATGATTCTGTGGTCTGCACAGGATAACCAGAAACTAAGAACTGAGGTCAGTGTCAGAGTATCAGTTCATTCAAGTATACTTTAGCTGTTAGACTAGAAACCTATCCTCCATCCCAGGACTGAAAGAATATCAGATCTCCTTCAGGAACATTTTTCATTCATGTCAAATATTGACACTGGTTTTAAACACTTACAATTTCAAATGTTGCATAACTGTATAAGATCCTGTCTTGTTTAATATGTTATCTGTGAAAGAACAAGCTTTCCACTGTCTTCTCTCCTGTCAATGCTGCTAAGCTCCCCATGTTTCAATAAAAAATTAATTCAGTTAAGAAGTCCATGTATTGCTACAGTAATTGGTAAACAGTGAGCAGAGCCAAGTGTAAAGTGGACTGGAACAAAGCAAAATCATAGCACTGAAAAGCTTCAATGGTGGAATGCTCTTGTGATGGAATGTGAGTTGTGAAGACCTTTCTTTTGGGGTTGTGAAACCCAACTGTTGAATTTAACCTGATCAGTGTTCTCAGCCAGAACTTCCATTTCATGCAACACCTGTGAGCAAAGCAACCTTCTCTGATGGATCTCAGTGGAGAGAGGATGCTTGAAAGAAGCTACCAAAATCTATCATTTGTCAGTCACTGTTATTTCCTGGAGTTGCTGCTGTGTCGATACTTCTGTGCATTCACTGATGTATTTCTTCCCACACATATCATAAGTTTAAGAAGACCACTGATAGGATTAGTTCCCAAACTGTGCTAGAAGAACAGTTCTAATACAGTGCAAAGCTGTGATAGGGCAGAGAGTACTGAATGCCTTTAGGCCAGTGACTGTGCATACAGAAGAGCTGTGGAAATGACCTTAATGGAAACTGCCGACAGGAAAAAGGAGATGGAGTGGGTAGTTCTTGTTTCTGAGTAGGTTAATAGACTGACAAATGGAATTGAAAGGACACAGGATTTGATAGATTGGTATAAAAGGGTCACTTGCAACCTCCAAGTCCCAGAGCTGGATGGGCAAAGCTATGTGCTTTGTCCTCAGGGTGCTCCTCTGCTGAGTTACACTGATTCCAGTGGTGTTCTGCTTCCGTCCGTTGGGTGAAGGCAGATTGGTTGTCTGCTCAGCTTGTTTTGGAGGAGAGCAACCAGCTGAGGCAGATGGTGTAGGAAGTGTGTAGATGACTTCAGAAATCTCCACACCACAAGGACAGAAAAATGAACTGCTGGGTGATGCTGAGGATCACCAGTGAGAGTCAATGCAGCCAGCAAACTGCCAGCTGAGGCAAGAGAGTTGTAACTTTTCATGGTATGAGAGTGTTGCCATGGATAAGAGCATTCCTTTAATTTCTTTCTGTGCTGCTCTCTTTTCTTTCAATCTCTAGTTTCATTTTTCACTGTTCCTGAAAAACTCCAGGAACTCTGATTTACTGCAGCATTGCCAGATTGAAATTCTTCCTGTTTCACAAAGATAAGCAGAACTTTTTCAGTTTGACAAGTAAAGACTCTGGATAGATATACTGTAGATTGCTTGCAGATCTTCCAAAGTACTTTCTGACATCTTGCATGAAAGGATGGATACTGATCCCAGGAGTCCCAAACAGACTGGGATCCCCTCTGGGGACCAGCTGTGGAATTGATTCAGATGAAGAAGAGTCTGTGTAGGCCCACAGTTTGTAAGTGGAAGTTTCAAGCCTTAGGCTTGGTTGTTTATCCTGCTTACCTAACCCACCCTGTGGTGACAACCACACGTAGATATATCTGCTGGATTTCAGTAAGCTGTGCAGAACCACTTGATGGAATATTTATTCAGGTGGTCAGTTCCAAACATCTGTTTTCGGGAGCTGACAGACTGTAGGTAACCATTCTTGGTGTCTCTTGCAGAGCTTTGGCAAGGGTTATAAGTACAAGAAGTTATTGGACCCAGAGTTTCCTTTTTCCCCCTCTCTGAGCAGCTGCAGTGTGTGGTGCACTCATTGACATTTCCTGTTTGTTGCTGTAGCTGATCGAGAATTCATAGAGTCGAGGAGGAGAGCCCTGAAGCGTTTTATCAACCTGGTGGCTCGACATCCCCCTTTCTCAGAAGATGTGCTCTTGAAACTCTTTCTGTCCTTCAGTGGCTCAGTGAGTATTTGTCAGCAATAGTCCTGAGTTTGCATCTCTTCCTGGAACTGCTTTGCTGGGCACAGGGTTCAGAATTGCTTTTGACCTAAGTGTTTTTGTTCCCTGCAATGAGAATTTTCTCTGAGTAGGTATTTCTACAGCTGGAAAATGGAAGGTAATTTCACTCAATGCCAAGAGTGTAGTATTTTGAAAATTATAACTGTTCTTAGGGGAATACATCTTATGCTTTTCCTTAAATTAAACCTGACTTGGGTAAAGCTGTACCTGCTGTGCCTTTCTGTTGTAGTATGTCTGAGATCTGTGTGGTTCTTTCACCCTCATTTGATCCTGTACTTTCCCCAGGATGTACAGAATAAGCTAAGGGAATTGGTCCAAGGAGTAGGAGATGAATTTATGACCTGCAGATTAGCTACCCAGGCAAAGGTATGTATATGAATTTCTTGCAACATATTGTTCTGGTTTAAATGGCTCCTATCCAGGTGGATCAGTTGTGGCTTTTGTGAAGTGATGAACACTGTAGGAGAGTTTGCAGAGTTTGAAGGGCTTGTAATTTTATCAGAAAGATCAAATAAACATTTGACTCTTAAGGGCCTGATATTTCTAGCTAAATGCTGGTTCATGAGTACGATAAACAATGGATCCTGCTCCGAGCATGCTTCTCAGCAATTACTTGCACAACAAACAAATGCACGAGTTGCACAATTTAGAGGCTAATATCTAGATTGGTGTCTTTCCCACGTGTTCATGCCCTCATTCTGTCTGCTGTCCTCTCCCTGTGGGAGAGCAATTTGGACAGTTATAGAGAAGTTAGTTCTGAGTTCTCTATGTATCTGTTTATCCCAGTGATTAGTGCTATGACAAGTTTTACATATACATCCACTGTGTTCATTGAGCAATTTTAAAGCAAGTTGTTGTTCAGGTTCCTGCAATGCTTGCAGAAGGTTTTGCAACTGGAGCTTAATTCAGGCTTTTACCAATGATACACTGGTTAAAAAGAGCTGAACTTTCAGTTCATGCTTGAGTTTGTCAGGCTGGAAGTTACCAGTAGGGTCAGATCAGAACCTGTGTGCTTGACAGCTCACAAACCCTGTTGTAATTGCAGATTTTGCCAACTCTGTCTCCACTGGGTGTTTGAACCTCTTTCTACTTGTGAAAATTAGGGCTGTTTGTGTGACAAAATTTCATAGCAACCTTCCAGTGTCTGAAGGGCCTACAAGAAAGCTGGAGAGGGACTCTGTTAGGAACTGTAGTGATAGAACCAAGGAGTAATGGGGATAAACTGAAAGAGGGGAAATTTAGATTAGATATTAGGCAGATGTTTTCCCTGTGAGGGTGGTGAGACACTGTCCCAGGTTGCCCAGGGAGGCTGTGGCTGCCCCAACCCTGGCAGTGTTCACAGCCAGGTTGGATGAGCCTTGAGCAACCTGCTCTGGTGGGAGGTGTCCCTGCCCAGGGCAGGGGGTTGGCACTAGATGGTTGCTAAGGTCCATTCCAACCCCTAACATACCATGATTCTATGATGACATCTGCCTTGGACACCTAAATTGGGAAGCTGACCTCTTCAGGGTTGTTCTGGCACGGTGGGAGGAAGCCTGTCCCTGCCTGCAGTCTGTGTGCTGTGCCTCTGCTCTATCCAGCAGTAATCCCTCTGTTCTCCTTCAGGACTTCCTTCCAGCTGACATCCAGGCCCAGTTTGCTGCCAGCAGGGAGCTCATCAGAAATATTTATAATAGCTTCTATAAGCTCCGGGACCGAGCGGAGAGGATCGCGTCCCGAGCCATCGACAACGCCTCCGACCTCCTGATATTTGGGAAGGAGCTAAGGTAGGCTGGCAGGAACAGGGTGTGCTGATGTGAACATTTCTACTGCTGTTTTACAACTCAGGGCTGTTGTAATGGTCTGGTAGGAATGGGTATTTCAGTGTGTGCTGCAGGTCAGAATCAATTTTTCCTGCTATAAAAAAGGAATTGCGCTTTCCACTCAGACTGCATTCCCTGGAGCAAGGGAAAAGAAAATACAAATACCTTGACACTAAAGTACAGGTTTTATCATCTCTTTTCCCAGTATATACACAGTTAACTCTGCATTTGTGATGGGGCAGTTATAGCTCAGCACTGTGAGCTGTTTAGACAGACTTGAAACCCTGAACTGCTCTCTGCAAATAAGTTTATCTACTCAGTGGAATTTGTCTCCTAGATGTGACCATTACTTATCTCCTTCCAGTGCTTTGGGCTCAGACACTACCCCACTTCCTTCCTGGGCTGCTTTGAATAACAGCACGTGGGGGACTCTGAAACAAGCCTTGAAGGGTCTTTCTGTTGAGTTTGCACTCCTGGCAGATAAGGCTGTGCAGCAGGTGAGTTTTTCAGTCCTTTTGTAAAGCGAAGGAGGTACATTGCTGCCTTTACTTTAACCTTGAAACGTGAGCTCTGTGGGCATAAACACTTCAAGAGTTAAGAGGGAGGTTGTAGTCCAAACTCATATCCTCAACTCCCAGCCTTCTTGTTCAAACTGGAATGAAAAACCTGGATTGTGTTTAAGTGGGAAGAAATATAACATGGAAGGGAAAGGAGGGGAGAAATTCTGCTTCCTTTCTTAGTTCTAAATGGTTATTGCACACATAAAGTTGTACTGCCACAGTGAGCTGTCCAGAACTCCTGTGTTCTGTCTTATTAATCTACAGAGAAACCAGAATAACTTATTTCTGAATCAAATTTGACACTCATGTTCTTAAACATTACATGAGAGTCATTCAGACAGAAGCATCATATCCCTGTGTAAGTGTGCAGTGTGGTAATGACTGCCAGAATAATGTGAGAACACGACAGCCTGGGAAGGAGAAGTATTAGTTTTGTCTTCACTGCTCTTCATCTCATTGTGTTAGAACACTCTGTGTGCTTTTGTAGATCAGTCAAACCAGGTCTTTCTCTCCAGAGTTTACGCTCCAGAGAGCTCTATTGATACAGCAAGAAAAAGAATATTTTGTAAAATACAAAAACAAGTAGTGGAATTTGGCTTGGTGTCTCATCTCTGCCTTCTGATGCATGAACTATTATGGGGAACATGCAGGTATTCAGAGCTTTAATGGATTAGTTATCTTGTAAGAAGGGGAAGATGAAAGAGATTGGCGGAATCTGCAAGAGCAAGAAATTCCAGGCAGAGTGCGCTGAAAGGGCTGACACAGAGGCCTGTGAAACTAACTCCTCTTGTTATAATGATCACTCAGTTGGAAAAGCTGTTCCTGCCTCAGTCAGGTCTTTGTTCTGCACACTGAAGACTAAACACTCCAGTGCCATCTGAAAGACTTTTGATGCAGTTGTGTAAGCGCTGATGTGCCCTGGAGAGCGCGGCCGAGAGCCTGCGCGCTGGGAGGAGGTGAAGGGCTCTGATGTTGGTTCTTGCCAGGCTTACGTAAAATGTACTTTTTTCCTTGTTTTCTAGGGTAAACAGGAAGAGAATGATGTGGTGGAGAAGCTGAACCTTTTCCTGGATTTACTCCAGTCCTATAAAGTGAGCTCTGCTGTTCTACTGCCAACAAGAAATTTGTTTAGAGAGAGCTTGTGCTTTTGAGAGGGTGTAACGCCAACTGGATGGAAAACTGTCTGGGAGGCCAGTTCAGAGGCAAACTGGGCATCTGGCAGAGGGAGGGGAGTGGCTCTTGCTCTTAGCCTCAGTGATCAGTTCATCTTGTGAAGAGAACTTGCCAAAGAGCAAACCCTGCAAGGAAGTCAAAATATGACTGCTTGAACTGTATGGATCAGCTAACTTTGTCAGATTTGGCTGCTTTTGAGTCAAAGCACTGAGCCAGATCACTGCTGGTTTTCTTCTGTGGTGACAGGAGCTCAGTTACAAGTCAGAATTTTTGTTAATACTAATAGTTTGGTCAAAGGTAATTCTTTTTTATGGGAGCAGAACTGGAGATGTGTGAGGCAGCCTCTCCTGACATTCCCAGGCCTGGACAGAAGTAGGAGGACATTGGCAAGCTCTTACCACAGTTAATTGCCAGCACTCAATTTTGAGAAGGTCAGAAAACAGAAGAGGCCTGATAAGGTCCAAAATGTTGGCAGAGGTGATGCTCCAGGTTGCCTCTTGAGCTCACTGGTCTGGGTTCAAGCAGTTTTTCTTCTTGAATTCTTAGCTGGTGGCATTATTTGACCCTCCTTAAAACAAAGGAACAAAAATCTGCAGCATGGAAATTACATAAAGCATTTGTTTGTGTTCCTGATGTACTTGGCTGTATGTTTGCTGACTCTTAGCTTCCACCTGTTCTTTTCTTTCCCCATCAAGGACCTGTGTGAAAGACATGAGAAGGGAGTATTGCACAAGCACCAGCGAGCGTTGCACAAGTACAGCATGATGAAGAGGCAGATGATGAGTGCCACTGTGCAGAACAAAGAGCCAGAGTCAGTGGAGCAGCTGGAGTCCAGGATTGTGGAGGTAGGGCAGGAGCCTGGGACAGCCAAGGGTGGTACTGGACTCTAATGGTGCTACTCTGTAGCTCAGTCACATTTGCAGAGAGCCATTGGACTGACAGGCTTTGGGAAATCTGAGCTGCCTGCTGTGCCACATGGAAAACATGGGTTGTTTTCCTCAACACTTACAACTAGCTCTTTGGCAAGATGCCATTTGCAGGAGCTGTGGAAAGCAGCATCTGCATGAGGGAAAGTGCAGTTGCTGTTTTATCAAATGGGTCCAGGAACTGCATTTTTAGGTTTTTGGTATGTGTTTTAATTGCTGGTATGGTAGGGAACATGCCTGCTGTGCCACATGGAAAACATGGGTTGTTTTCCTCAACACTTACAACTAGCTCTTTGGCAAGATGCCATTTGCAGGAGCTGTGGAAAGCAGCATCTGCATGAGGGAAAGTGCAGTTGCTGTTTTATCAAATGGGTCCAGGAACTGCATTTTTAGGTTTTTGGTATGTGTTTTAATTGCTGGTATGGTAGGGAACAGACAAGACAAGATTGTGTGGAGACCTCAGAGCAACCTTCCAGGAGCTGAAGGGGCTCCAGGGAAGCTGCAGAGGGACTCTTGGTTAGGAACTGCTGTGACAGGACAAGAGGTAATGGGGAGAAATTGAAAGAGGGAAATTTAGGCTAGATCTTAGGAAGACGTTTTCCCTGTGAGGGTGGTGAGACACTGGCACAGGTTGCCCAGGGAGGCTGTGGCTGCCCCAACCCTGGCAGTGTTCACAGCCAGGTTGGCTAAAGCCTTGAGCAACCTGCTCTGGTGGGAGGTGTCCCTGCCCAGGGCAGGGGTTGGGGCTGGATGATCTCTAAGCTCCATTCCAACCCCTTAACATACTGTAGAGCTATGAATGCTGTTTTCTCCTGCTGCAAGTGAACCTCCTTGTCACCCCCTTTCTGGCAATGTATCTCACTGAGTTTCTCTTTTTTTTCAGCAAGAAAATGCCATCCTGACCATGGAGCTGCGGAATTACTTCTCTCTGTATTGCCTGCATCAGGAGACACAGCTTATCCACATCTATCTGCCTCTCACATCTCACATTTTGGGGGCTTTTGTCAACTCCCAGATTCAGGGTCACAAAGAGGTGAGTTCTAGACTGGATCCTTTTTCCCAAAGTATGAACAAGAATTTGAATGTATTTGATTTCACCCATTGGTCTTTGTCCTCATCTGTCCAGCTGGGCTGTCATAACTTGAGAAGTCACCTAAGGTCTTTCCAGTTTGGGTTGAGGATCAAGGCTGGCCTCTAGCCCCTCTGAAACACTTTAAGTTGCTGTTTTGTTCTTGTTTGTCTTCTCTCATCTTTACCTGCCCTTACCCTATGGGTAGTTGAAGGAGACCCAACCATTCAATAGCTGTTCTGTAAGGAATGATGTGTGTTTGCTAGATGAATCTGGGTTTGTTGTGCTACACAGAAATTACATGACAAGGAGCAACTTCTTTGGTTTTGCTCTAAATCCAAGAGCTCACTTTTGTTAGCCCCTAAATATGACCTATAATAATCCCCACGTAGAGTTGCTTGCATTTGTTGTATTAGAAAACTCTCCTCCTTCAGCTCCTTTCCTTCTTTGGTGAAGGGATTTGACCAAGGTATGGGAAATGTCCCTTCCATGAATGCTCAGGAAAATATTCAGGGAGCTGCATATATCACCAGTCTGAAAGGGACAATCTGAGTCCACTGAACTTCCCCAAAGTACTTCAGCCAACTTGTGTTGTGCTTTTGAGTACCTGAAACTGCTGCTCAAGTCCAGTGTGGGGATATTGTTACCTTCTGTGTTGTCATGTCTTTCCTCCTCTCCTGTCAATGCTTTCTCTCCTTTTCCTCCCACAGATGAGTAAAGTTTGGAATGAATTGAAGCCGAAGCTGAGCTGCCTTTTCATGGGATCCAGCAATATGCCAACTCCACCACTGTCACCTCCAGAGGGAAACTTCTTCTCCTCCAATTAACGCTCTGAGCATCCTGCATGGAGCAAGAAGGGCAACCAGCGAAGGGGTGGGACCTCTACCTCCAGATGTTAGAATGAATCCTCCAAACAGCTATTTTTATTTTTGACTTTTTTTTTTTTAATACTGCTGCTTTGAGCTGCTCTTTGATTTAGACAGACTGGATGTGGGGCAGAACACACGGATTTAAAGACAATCTGTTAATTTTGCAATGCTCTGGGACAGAGCTGATGTTCATTATCCTGCAGACACTGTGGGGTTGGGATGTGGCCTGGCACAGCAAAGTGCTGCAGTGTTGTTGCTGCTGCCTCTGCATCTTGTACTAACAGTCCTCCAATCATGTTTATCTAGCTGTGCTGACACATCTCTGCACATCTCTGAAGTGCTGAGATGAACAGGATAGCTGAAGCAGTTGCTTGTAGTGGAGACAAATTGCCTTTCCTGCCTTGGAGGGCCTGTGTTAGGGACATGTGTGCATAAGGAAAGCTGAAAGCCATTCCCCATCCCATTGTAGGTGTCTGGATTTGATTTCTTACTGCTAGACCTTAGCACAAAATTAATGAAGTGGTTGGACTCTAACCCAGCTGGGCAGGGGTCAGTGCTGCTGTGTGACAGGGGATTTTCCTGATGAGGCTGGATGGACTCTACTGTCAGTGTGTTTCCCTTCGTGGTTGCAGGGCAGCCTGGGGACTTTCTCATCTTTTTCAGTTTGGGGCCAAAGACAGCTGAGTTCAGGAACTCGGAGGAGTTTGCCTGGCATAAATGAGAAAATAATTGAATAAAACACTCCTTAATTGTCATCCACTCATACTGCAGGAGCAGAACAGCTGCAGAGGAGCTAATTTTTTTCTTCTGGAGGTTCTGACATCTGCCTGTTTAGGTCTGTTGGAGAGCTGCTGACCTGAAGGCTGCTGTTTGCTTTGGTCTAACATCAGGGTATCCTGTTGCAGCAGCAGGCTGGGACACAGTGCTGATAAAGTTCAGTAGCAAAAAATCAGTATTTATCAGGATGTTATTTTTTTCCTGGTTGTGGATAACATTGGAGTGTGTTTGTGAAGGAGAAATGACAATTAAGTGACAGTTCTCATCTCTAAAAACAGCACAGCCCTTGGTTAATGGGGTTTTCAGAATGATTTGTGATTGTGATAAAGGGACTAAACATTCTCCACTTTGTCTCCAGTGACTTTTTCTCGGGAGACAAAGGGCAGGGGAAGGAGGAGGAGAACGTGCTTGTCGTTACCTCAGGGGAAATCCTCCAGAGAAACTGATAATTGAGCAAACTGCAAACAGCAGCAAAACTCCGTGTGAGCAGGACTCCCCTCAGCCTGACTTCTCTGAGGCCAAAATAGCTTCCAAAGGGGAATTTGAGACTTGGTTTCTTAGCATTTTCTTTGAGTGGGTAAAAAGGAAGCAGATTAACAAGGATAAGTGCTTGTTGTCAAACTGGAACCATCACAGTATTTTCCCACTGGGGAACTTCCCCATTAGCAGGAAATATATTTAAATCCTCCAATCACAAAAGCTTTTTTTTTTTGTTGTTGTTGGTTTGTTTGTTTTTTTTTAATTTAGAAAACTCAGTGCAACATGAAGCTCTTCCTAGTCCTGGTGGAAATTATGGGTTAGTTTCTTCAGCTAGGAGCAAGATAAGAAGTTCTTTGCCCGGTTTCATGAGACTGGAATAACATTACTCACACTCCTCAAAATGTGGTCAAGTACACTGATGTGGGTGAATTCCTTGGGTGCTGGGCCTTAAGCAGTGTGTAGCCAACCTTACTCAAAATGTATTAAGAGCTTTTTTCACCAGTTCCAGTGTTATCTCTCTTTCCTCCTGCCTATGTAACCTTGTCCAGTGAGAGATGAACTGCAAATGGCTGTGGCAGATTAGATTCTCTCCTTAAGATTTCCAAGATGATGCAGAAGAGATTCTGCTCATAAGCCAGAGCAAACTGGCTGGGCAGGGAAGTGTTTTCACAGTCCAGTAAGAGAGGATATCAGCTCCAGAATGGCACAAAAGGTTTTTCTGCTTGACCTTGTTTTGATTAGGAAGATGGTTTGTGGTTCAAGTGTGTGCTAGCAGATTTCTAAACACTCTTCACTCCTGGTACCTTCAAAAGGTGCTGCCTGGTTATGGCCTGTCATTTGCTTAGGCTCAGCACCCACCCTCCCTTGTTTATCCCTGTTTGCCTGGTGTGAACAGTCAAATTGAGAAAACACTATGTTTTGGGGCATAGTGATATTTCTGATGAATGTTTTGCAAAACTTCTGTCCTGGGGTAGATAACTGGGCAGTGTTACATAGCAGCACCTGCAAAGGACTAGCCTGAATGGAACTTTGCACTCCTCATACTTAGGAAAAAAGTTACAAGTTTGGACTTTATTTAAAAGCAAAAACCAACCCCCCAAAATACAAACATTAAAACAACTGTAAGGCTTTAGACTAACTCCTCTTTCCTGTTCTCCTTCAAAGCAAGAATTCTACAACTCTTAACAGTGGTAAACACAGACCACAGGATCCATAAAGAAACTGGAATATGCTGTTTTGAGAAAATACCTGTTGCCCCATTGTCAGCCCTTTCCCCTCTGAGGAGAGCAGGTTTGGGGGTCGGTTTTTCTTGTTTTGGTTTCACTCTGTTCACCTGGTGTTGGAGAACAGAGGCCTAGTGTTCTCAAAGCTGATCCAGCTGTTGGCATTTCAGAGTTTATTTCATACTGGACTGTCAAGCCTCTGTCTCATTCCTAAACACATGGAGACACTATTTCATACAACCCTTACTTTGCAAACCTTTCTTTTGGGAGACTGGTCAGTGTGCAAATAGCACTGTTATGTTTACCTCAATGTGTGAGGGATTTCCTTACTCTGTTTGTTCAGTTTATGGATCGGTCAGACTTGGAGGACAGCACCAAGCACAGCTTCCTTCCTCTGGAGGGATGCAGCAGGGAATCCAGGGGATCTACCAAGCTGACTTCAGTTGCCTGTCTGCCCTAGTCAGTGTGGGGGGAACAGTTGTAGTTATCTCCATGCTGTTGCCTTCTGCAGTAAACACTAAGCAAACCAGCCTGACTGAGCAGTGTGTGGTGCCTGGCTGAGAGTTGATGCTCCTGTGAGCTGCAGTGCCAAAGTGTTAATGTGCCTTTGTCAATAGAAACTTTTCTGCATGGGCTTGGGGTCAGGAGACTTTCATGTGTTCAGAACAGTGATTGAAAGGTAGAAAAGGTCTCCAGTCTTTGTCAGTGACTGTCAGATCTGCTGTGGAGGTACCAGGGTAGTCAACACCTGAGAAGCTGAAAGGCTGCCTGAAAATTTTTCTATCAAAAGGGCTCTCTACTTTTGCCACTCCTAAAGTCTTCTCCACTTCAGGCTGTGAAGTGGCAATATACAGCCTTTGGTTCAGTAACAGGTGTTGAAAGACTCTAGACTATACTTCCAAAACAGTCTTAATCTTTGATGCTTTTTACCATCTCCTTCCATCTTCCTTGCAAGTTGTTCCTTCTAAGCTGTAACATGTTCAATGGTGCCTTTGCTGCATTCCAGTGTTTTTACTCTCCTACTTGAATCATGCAAGGGTGTAATTCCTGGATTTGTAGCAGGCTAGTTTACACCCTTCAGTGTGTGCCATTTCCTAAAAGACAAAGCTCACCAGCTGGGGGGCAGAGCTTAAAACATGCCAGTCCCCACAATGGCAGCAGGAGCAATAACATCACAGCTCTGACATGAGTCACAGGGAAAGCTTCATCCTAGGACTGACCTGACTGCAGAGAGCAGATAGCAAAGAGAAGTGCAAGCCTGAGCCATGCTTGTTCTTTTCCTGCCTAAACTCCTGGAGGAACAGGAAGTGATGCTGTGTGATTCTGTAATGTGCTCTCTCTCACTGTGTAATTTACAGGACATAAACCAAGATGTAACAGGTATTGGCTGCCAGTCACTCCCTTCCCTACCATGCAGTGAGGTCCTCACCCTGTTAAGGCTGTCTGTCCTCTTGGGTTTATTCTCTCTCCTACTTGCCTTGAGCCATTCTCTCCATTAGAGCAGCCAGAAACCTTCACTGCCAGGTCAGCAGGGGTTGGTATCAAAACCTCTGTAAATAACACAGTGTGCAGCACAAAAGGAAAGGTAAGATTCTAAGGAGTTAACTCATCCTCCGAGTCTGAGCTGTGGCTTACTGGGCAGATGAAGAAGGGCATCTCTGAGTGATATAAATTATTCAGAACTGCTGGAGGGAGACAACAAGAAACAAGTGTTGTTCAGAGGGTGTGAATTTTGCCTGCCTGGAATATCCTGTATCTTCGCTTTGCTCAAATAGCCTTATGTATGAAGCACTTTATCCAAATGCAGGAATTAAAGAACTATTACTACAGCTGGTAGACTGGAAATGTTTACAGATCCTACATTACATTCCAAGATTCTATCTGTAAGTGTTATATGTTTGTAAAAGTGTTTAAAAACAAAACTTGTGTAAGAAGTTACATATGTGATGTGTTATTTCTAGCAGAGTTGGATTAAACTTTTGCTGCCCACCATGCTGAGCTGGGCTGACATCAGTGCTGAGGTGTCACCTGCTGCTGCCCTGGGACACTGCAGCCATGGGGGATGGCACTTTGCAACGTGGACTTGCTCCAAGTTGATTTTGTTCAGCATATTTTTACCTGAAATGGTCAAAAGAGTTCAACTTCACAGCAGGAGCTGCAAGAGGGAAAGTTTGGCTCAAACATGACTACACAGCTACCTCTGACTTGTGTTTTCTTAACTCCCATAACCTCACAGTGCTTTCAGCTGGGGAATCCTGAAGGGATCTTTATCTGAACTGTTCAAAAGGCTTTCACAGCACTGTTACAACAGAACAACACATCTTTTACTAAAAAAAATATCTTTAATATTTTGAAAAAAAAAAAAAAGAATCCAGCCAAGAGGGAAAAGCCTAGAGCATTAACCACCTGCAAAGAAAAAGGTTAACACTATGTTTTGAATAGTTATCACATAACCACTAAAGCCTATCCTAGCCAGTGACTTCAGAGCCTGGAAAATTTTGTAGTATTTCTGCTTAAGAAACCCCCTCATTTTCCTTACTTCCCCCTGGCCTGGGCAACAAGTCTCCTCTGCTGGAGAACTGAGACAGGAGACCCTTCTAAGTTGTACTTGTGGTGGTGTAGTCCAGTGTAGGCAGTAACATGTGGGCTGAATGCTTCCCTTTTCTTAAATTTCCTCTACTTCTTTCAGGCTGTGCTCCAGGATGGTGTCTTGTCCCTGGAACTTAAAATAGCCACGAAACAACTTTCTCTGAAGCACCAGGGGAAACCAGTAGCTATCATCTGGCCACATGTGGTTGAAGGGCACCTCATCCAGCTGGAACCACTGGGGCCGCATTTCTGGAGGGAGAGAACAAAAGAACTTGGCATGGGTGTCCCTCCTGGATTTTTGCTGCCTGGATTGTGAGTAGCTGTCAACAAACAGCTTCCCTCTACAGCTCAGCTGCCTCCCTTCTCAGAGGTATTTTGGCACAAACAGCTCTCCATTTCCTAAGAGCAGTGCTGTCTCAGAAGAGCATGCACCATGCACATCCTTCCTTCCCCACCAGCCACTTACCCTCACTTTCTGTTGGCTCTCCATGGAAGTGATCTGCCCGGAAAATGTGAACATCCATGAGTTCAGAGTTGCCCACAAATTCAAATGTGATCTGCCCCATCTTCTGCAAGGTGTCCACAGTCAGCCCACTCTCCTCCAGGAGTTCCCTGCACAAGAAAGAGACATCTTCACATGAAAGGGAGCAGTGGGGACGAAACCACAGTCGTTAGCTTTACCTGCACATTCCAATCCCTTCAGTGAACCAGAGGTGAAAGCTGCACCTGTACAACAGAGCAAGGCCCAGCAGAGTTCTGGCTTGCACTGAGCTGTCTACTTACACCACAGTGGAGCCAGGTCAGATGGGCCTGTGTGCTATTTCAGGCTCCTGAGGCTGGCAGGAAATGTTGGAAGGGTAAGACCGGGAAAATCGATAACTTAGTGTAATTTACAGTCCATGCAATGTGGGATCTTTTCTGAGAGTAGTGAAAGTGAGTGTATGAAGTTATGTGACTGTAGCTGGATGTGGCTTCAGAACTCTGAGATATATTTCATTTGGACGTGCAAAAGGCTTTGCCAACTTCCAGCTAAAGCTTTTGAAATTGTGGGGAAAGAGGTAGTGAATATCTGTACTTGCTACACAACCAGCTACTTCTGAAGCTAACTGCAGCTTATTTTAATGACACACTACATAGCATCATCTGCACACAACATTAGGAATTCCCTCTCCTGTTCGAATGCCATGTGAGAAACACAAGGCAATTCTCAGCTTTCCCTTTCTGTTCCTTGGAAGCACATTGAGTTTAACAAAAGGCCAGAAGGCAAGACTTTAAGAGCACTTGGAGAGATGTGCCACATAGCTCTTTTCCCCACACCACCATGCACAGCTCCTTGAAGAACATCTATTATTTCTTCTGTTGATATTCTGCTCTCAGGGTTCTTCTGTTTTACCTCCCTCCAACAGCAGTAGCATAGCTTGGAGCTAGTTGTGGTTTTCCTAATGTACAAAAATAAGGAATATTTTGAAACAGTGTGTCTTCAGTTAAGGTTAATAATTAATGTAGTAGCCTATTTGGCAGTAACAGCAGTTTTAAAATGTAATGGAAATGATGTGTAAGGCTCCAGCTTGCTTTGGCCTCAATTTCATGGATCCCATCCTTCAAAATTATATTTCAACTTAATGTCTTAGCTAATTTTAGTTTATCTTCTGAGAAACTATGTCCAAAATAGAGGCAGTTTTCCAGCAATGAATCTAAAAGCCTCCTTTTACAGGCTGTGATAATTGAACAACAAAGCACAACACTGCTAGGGTTCTTCAAGCCTTTTATCCATCAGCTGTTTGGCTCTGTCTGTAACAAGTGGAAACATTACAGGTGGCAAACTAGAAATAACCAACTCCCTCAATCCTCCCCTTGCGAGATGTGCCCCTGAGGAGCTCACGGGAATGTGCTGTACCCAGCAGAGGATAGAAATCATCCTGGCACAGGGAACTTTTGTCCATGTTTCACTTAATATTAAACTATCTGTGCTGTGAGGACACCTCATATCTTACAGCACTGCAGACCCACCTGAGACAGTGCTACACAGAACCACAGCCTAACCTCAACTCCCAGTGCACAGCAGAGGTGGTGCAAGGGAATTGATTTGGCCCAAGGGACACTTCCTGGAGGAAAGCTGTGCCCTAGAGCAGCACTGCACTGGCAGTGTTCCCACCAGGAAGGTGGTCAGCGTGTCTAGCTGGCTCTGGGGACTGGTTCCTGCTCTGCTGACCTTGGCAGGAACCAGTTGTGCCATTCTGGAGTAAACTGCAGGTGAAGGGCTGAGGACAGTCCCCAGCAGCAGGTGCTGGTTGTGCTGTGGCACAATGCATTGGTATTGATGAAACCTTTATCACTTGACATCTCGTGTGAACTAAAGCTCTGGTGCCTAACTCCAGGTCAGCACAGGTAAACACACACTCGGGAAATCTAATGCTACATTAAATCATTAGACTTACACCACAGTCAGTGGCAGTGTGAGCCTAGCAAGTGAAAGCCTGAGTTAGATAGCACAACTGATCTCCCTCCCTCCACTCAGAGATGATAAATGACACAAAAGCCACAATGTAAGCATCAGGTATGTTTACAGTGTGCACTGCTGGGTACATCTGCACAGAGAACCCTCCTGCCCTGGGATCAGCTCACCACACACCCCAGGCAGTTGGACTGGCACAGCTGAGGAGATTGTTCACGGCAGAAGCTGTTGGGTAGCAGCTAAGCAAACCAACACTGAGCTTCCTGCAGGTGCAAGGGCAGGAATTACAAGGAGTAATGCGGATAAATTCAAAGAGGGAAATTTAGATTAGATCTTAGGAAGTTTTCCCTATGAGGGTGGTGAGACACTGGCACAGGTTGCCCAGGGAGGCTGTGGCTGCCCCAACCCTGGCAGTGTTCACAGCCAGGTTGGCTAAAGCCTTGAGCAACCTGCTCTGGTGGGAGGTGTCCCTGCCCAGGGCAGGGGGATGGGACTGGATGATCTCTAAGCTCCATTCCAACCCCTTAAACTATGACACTTTGAGATTCAATTCCCCAACTCAGTATTGGCACTTAAAAATGTCACCGCACAACCAATAAATTTCTACAGTGCCTTTCATAAGGGATCCTTAAGAATTTTTGCTGGTTTGTCACTACATTTTCAGGCAGTACTGAAAGTGCTGCTGGATGGTGACACCTGTTCAACAGCTTCAAAATGTAAACAATAAGCAGCACACTGGCTTAAGCTGTAACTCTGCTACAAAGCCAAGATTAAACTCTGCACCTCTCTGAACAGTGCAAGAACCTCCATCAACAAGTCACAAACTCAGTTTGCATCAGACTCAGAGTATTCATGGTAGGAAGGGATCCAAAAAGGATCATCGAATCCAACGTGGCCCTGCACAGGACATCCCTGAGGATCACACCATGTGCCTGAGAGCATTTTCTAAGTATTTCTCAAGCTCTGTCAGGCTCAGAGTCCTGATGGGAGGGAGGGCACTCAGTAACTTCCAGTTGCTCATAGACAGGATGACTGTTCAAGCTTTGCAGATGACAGACAAGAGGGAGCAATCCCTTGCTTTGTACATGTGGACAATCCCTCATCACCCGTGGAGCAGGTGACTGTTCAGAGATGGCTCACGACTGCACTGGTGAGTAACACGC